TTTGCAACACTTGGCTATTCACATTCTCAGTCAAACTTCTTCTCTTTTGATTGTGAGTGAAATTATTGGGCTCTTTTTAGCGGATTGACATCAATAAGAGGAATAGATTGGAACATCAAAGGGCAAATGATCTTGTTTAGATATGTGCATTAACATTCGTTCGACAATCTGGTTAGTAAATGTAGTGATTTTGTGTGTTATTGATTTTGTTTATGTGCTCGTTTCTTCACATTCATTATTGACATGGAAAAGAAATTTATTTTGATGATACTGTATATATACAGGTTGTACAACAAAAAAAAGATTACGATCCGATCCCATAGATCATTATGAATGTATAAATAAAGAGGAGTTTTGGATAGTACAAAATGAACCTCCTCGAGAGCTAGATTGTGATGAGGTTGAGGCCATGCTTAATAGTTAATAATGGACGACCACCAAACAACCAAAATGAAGGTTAGTAGTTTAGATTCATGTATCTTACTTGGGAAAATACTGTATTAGTAAACATAGATGATGGTGGAATTGACAACCAACATGCTTATTTTTTTAGATGGTCAATGCGCAGAAATTTGGGAAGAAGAGACTATTATGGGATTGGAATTGTCAACTTTTAAAGTGGGTAGTGAGGTGGATAATGCTGACTTGATGATGATGACATGTAACTAAATATGCTGGATTGAGGAACTTGGGAGTTGGGAATTATGCTTGTTTTATTAATAGTTTCAATTTTTGTTGGTGAAAATTTGACAATTTATTATAGGTTGTTGTTTAGAAGCTTTGTTTTGAAAAGCTTGATGCTTGTTTGGAAGCTGTGATCATGTTGCTTCTCAATGTTTGAAAAGCTGTGGCAATTTATTATAGGTTATTGCTTGACCGGGTTGACAAGGCGTTGACCGAGTTAATTTGGCAGTGACCACATAATAAGTTGATCATTTCGAGGCGATCTTGGGATAATTGTGGTCCCCGACTACCGTGTGGCCTAATGTGTAGCAGAAACCCAAGGATATTGAGTGGACCCATGATGGTACTGAATCGAATAACGGGTTTCTAATAGTCTCTTAATAATTTTATACCAAAGCGAAATCATACCTTTTGAAAAGGATACAAGGCGAACTCTGAATATTGAGAGTCCAATAACTACTCATATAAAAGTCCAATTTAACCCCACATATTTTAATTTCCATACCCCAACATTACCATCTTATATAACACTCATAATATAATGATAACACTATGTCTGATGCATAAGAACGGTTTTGCAAAAGTGTTTAGTTGTATGTCTTATTTTTAATTCTAAAATGATGTGAGAATACATATATTTATTAATGTGTTCTTTCCTAGATTGCAATTTGCATATTGTTCATTCGGTGACATGAGATTAGAATAAGGAAATATAATCTTAGTTTTTTTTCCTTCAAAAGTTCAAAAGTTGAAAACCTACATTATGTTTGTTAGAATCCGTAGTTCTCGATATTGCAAAAACTAAAACTTGGGTATAAGAACGGATCCCACAAGTCCCTTCTTTAAAATCTGAGGCTAACGTCGTTGTCACAGATCCACATTCTATTGATTTATAGGGATGCCAAATGGTTTGACATGGTTTTTGTGCACGCCAAACCCTTTGTCTCAGACTTTGGCACAAATAAATTTGAGCCAAATGGCTCTCCACGTTCTACAATGTTTGCAAGTACACATCCATGCCAAACTTATCTATCACTAGGTTCGAGTATTTTGACATGACACAATCTAAGACTCTAAGGTAAAAAAAATTGAATTTAAATTTGATTGGCATGGATACTTCCGAGCAAATATTAAACACCCACTTTTTCCAACTCTTGACAAGGAAATGATCTGTGCAAGAAGCATATATTTACAAAAAAATATGTACACCGTACAAAGATCCTTAGCTATATATATATATATATATATATATATATATCTTCTTACTATATATATAAAATGTGAATGGCCGTTAGATGGTCCTCTTCCGTTGAAACAGTGCTGGACGGTCACTGTAGCTTGGCGCAGCTTGGAGTGACGGCCGCTTCTCCGTTGGTGTTCGCGGTATACTAATTACTTCTGTCCCGCTAGAAAAGGGCGAGGGATGTTATCCCTACTTCATTTATCAGATGGTAGGGTTGTGAGAGAGTCTAGGGTTATCCCTCCCGATACAATCGATCTAGGGTGAGGAGAGTCTTCCCCAAGTCGCTGGCCAGAATCGAGCTTCTCTCATAGCCACTTATAGCCTCTCAACCTGGTAAGTTTACTTAACGTTTCTTCTTCTCCTTTGCTTTCTATTTGGTTTGAATGGTTTCTATCCACTGTAAGAACGAAAGAACGACTGAACTAAAATTGGCACAAAGTTGTGCGAAAATCAGCAAGTCTTAGCTTAATATTACGACGGAGGTGGCGGCGCTCCTTTCACCTTCAACCTCAAACCACACAGGCAATTTTTTTGATTTACTTTCTTCATCTTCTTTGTATAAGCTCACTCTTCGGTCTTTATTTCATGTTGCAAAGATCAATATGTTGTTTTTTTACGATTTTGTGTTTTCTTCTTATTCTTAAGACATTTATTACAAATAAATACTTGTAAATGGCATGCTAATAACGATTTTGTGACTATCTTTATAATTGATTATTTTGTGGCTTAGAGTGCTTTTGAAACTGCTAATGGTCGTTTTGAATTGTATTGGTAACTTGGATTATTGACAGTGAGACCAATCTGGCCTTTCTTTGTCATTAAAACATGGTTGGCTTTTCATGTTTGAAGGATATAAAAAAGGCTCTTGGGACATTTGGGAGTGACATCATCTAAATTTGAATGCCTTAAATTATAGTTTAAGGTTTGTGGAGTCTAGCTGTTAAGTTTTAATGGGAAATGAATCTTGTGTTGCAGAGTCCTAGAGAACATATCAGAAACTATTGTCGCTCTTGTTATTGAAAAATGTAACTCCATTTCATTTCTCTTTGCTGGCTTGATCGCATTAGAGAATTTGGATATGGTATTTGGTTTAAGTTGAAAGTGTTGAACCATTGCTTCTCTTTGTTTCTGATTTGTTTCATTTCCAGGCGGAGTTCTCATCTGCAGTGAACTACTCCTTCGCGCATCATATGTCTCATGGTATTTTTGCTTCTCTTTTTTTCCGATCCGTTTCTTTTCCAGGCAGAGTTACTCTGCAGTGAAGTGCTCCTCTGTGCATCATATGTCCATATCAAGAGTCTGGATGTCGCCACCGTCGTCTACTAACTAAGAACACCTCTGACCAAATAGATGACAAAAATATGAAGGGTTATTTTTTTTGGGACAAGGTTTTACTTTTCACATTAGCTTCCTTAATTCATTTGAACAAATCTAACACTTTTACTACTTTTAATTTTAGAAACTTCAGTTAATTAGGGGTTTTGTTGTTAGGAGAACAAATTGCTCAGCAGGGCATATATCTATGGATACTGTTGCAGGCGCCCAGCCACACAGGGCTCTTTGTTTAGAAGGTATGACATTCTGGATTTTAGTGTATTCATTAATAATAAATACATTAGAGAGGTTGAGTTTCAAGTAGACCTGGATTGGTAAAAAAAATGGCCTTGTTTTAGACAAACTTGATAGAATCTTAGTATCCCCTTAGTTTGATAATCTGAATCTCACTTTATCTATTCCAAAACTGAACAAATGTGTTTCTGATCACAATCCTATTTTACATAAACAGAATACTTATCTGAGGTTGGTCCCAAGACTTCAAATTTTTAACATATGTGGATTAAGCACTTGAATTTTTTGACATCCTGGAATCAGCCTTGTGATGCTTTTGGGATGGGAAAATTCTCTTTTAAATTTAAAAGGCTCAAAACAGATTGAAAATTTTGGAATAAAACCATTTTTGGAAACATTTTCAACAAGCTTGCTGAAACTGAGATTGAAATGTCTTTTCTGGAGGATAAGGTGACCACAAATATGAATAAAAAAGACAACATCTTGCTCAAACAAGTTCAAGCTAATTATATCCATTATAATTCATACTCCGTATCAAACAAGGTAAAGAGGTCTCTCATAATATTTTAATGCTAAAAGAATTGCTTAAGCATATTGACATTAAAGTCAGAGGTCAAAGCATTGTTTTTAAATTTCATATGCAAAACACTTTTGATGGAATGTGTTGGCACTTTATCGAAATCACTCTTAAACAATTTAGCTTTCATGATCTTTTTATATCTCTCATTATCAGCACATTCCCCCATGGTCTCTTCTAGAGGTGTGAAACAAGGTGACCCCCTCCTCCCTATTCTGTTTATTATGATTACGGAAGACCCAAACTTTGCACATCTTCTCTTCTTCTTCATTATCATCTATAGAAGGTGATCATATGTTTTTCTATCCCTTCTTACTTCGAAACTTGTAGGCAGATTTATGACTTTTTTGGTTTCATTTCCTTGTCTTAATTTGTTTTTAGTTTTCGCATCCGATTCTTTATTAATTTAGGAGTACATCTATCAATTTCTCTATTGCTTCAAATTTTTGGCTCTCGAGTTAATTAAGGGTTTTTGCTGCAGAAAAGCTTATCGCAGCTAAGCCTGTTTACATTGTCGCAGAATCCGGCTAAACCACCTAACGTTTGGCTGCTTTTATATGGTTTGTTTTATTTGCTAGGAGGTAAACTAAAATCATGTTTGATTTTATATGGCTGCTTTTATTTTGATCTAAAACCTATTCGTGTACCTCTATTGATTTTCTTCCTGACAATTCTTTTAGTTCATGTTTTGAAAATTGCAGTTCCTTGACTTTAATTATTATTAAGGAATAAAAACTAAAAGCTTATGTATGAACATGAAGTTCTTTTCATCTTCTTTGTGAAAAATATACTTTTTCAATGCCCATTCAGATCAGATCGAATCAGAAAGATTCAGATCAGATCAGAAAAACTCATATTAGATCAAGAAAACTCAGATTCAGAATATGGTTACTTAAGACACCTGTTAATGCCTACACTATTGCCCAAACTGATCTTAAGGCCACTCATAGCCATGTTTATCTTGAGAACCCTGTTAATTGTGTTGCCCAAGATGATCATGAAATTGAAGGCCCTGCTGATTTTGAATGCCCTGTTGATGACTCTTCAACATCCCACGGTGTTATTGAACTTTCTGCTACCATTGATGCTTTTTCTAAAGTTGCCCATGAGGATTCTGGTCCAGTTGATGGTGGACAAACTGCCCCTGGACCAGAAACGATAAGTAACTTTTCTGATTTTGTAGCCCCAGTTGATTATGTGCCTATTGCTTTAGTTCCCCAGGATGTACCTGCTCCAGTTGAAGGTGGGTGCATTTCTGGTTTCAATGCCAGAATGATTTGCACTGCCCCTGAGCCAGGAAATGTTAGCTCCCGCTCTGAATTTGTTGCCTCGTTTGATATAACACCTACTGATTGTGTCTCTAATGTTTTCTTGAATAATGATGCGTCGATGTGTGCCAATGATAAAGCACCAGATCCAGGTCCTGGAGTTGATACTTCTCGGGCAAAAGTTGGAAATGAAGGACCTCGTTCTGATCCGTCTTTTGAACCTCCTATTGCGTGTACTACACTTGATCATCTCCTGTCCAGTGATGATAATCAATCTGAGGACACCCAATTATTGCTAACCTTTGCTCTATCAGGTCCACCAGACTGTCCACTAGAAGTGGAGCACAATGGCTTCTGATTTCACATGCATCGGTTTAGTAGTTAAACATTCTAAATCTTACTATATATATATCAGAGATGAATGAAGGTTAGTTAGTCCTATTCCACTAAAACAGTGCTCGATGGAAGATCCATTTTAGCGCTGAGAAAACTAAACGCCCAGTTAACGTCTTCTTCCCCCGGTTCCGATTTTTTCTGTGGCTGGGAAAAGTGCTTGCTCCTGTGTGTTTCTGTTTCAGGTTAACAGTGTCAGTGCTGGCGACGACAATGTCAGTCCATAGAGGGGCTATGATGACATTCATTTTCTTAAGCCAGTTGATGGGCATTGGGGATACACGACCCGTATCTTGGCGTGACAACACACTGACCAGACCTAAATATCTCACGTGTTTTGTGTGTTTGCAGCCATGGCGGCATCAGATGTTTCTCTTTGCTTGTTAGTAAGCTTTGTCTGAGCCTCCATTGTTGTTCATTTATGGAAGAGATTTGTTTAATGCTACCTCCTTAAAGTTTAAAACATTTAACTTTTCTTTTAATTTCTTACTATATATATATAAGTTTGATAGAGTATATGGGCCTGGACCCCATGGCCCACATACTCAACAGCCCAAAAGACACCAGCGGGGCACCCGCATCGGCCAAAGGCACGCGACGTCCAAGGAAGGAGATAGCTCTTGGATTATATGAACGAAGTCCGGGATCCGCATCGTCCAATGACCGTGTCGTCCATGGACCGCATCGTCCATGGACCGCATCGTCCATGGACCGCATCGTCCATGGACCGCATCGTCCATGGACCGCATCGTCCATGGACCGCATCGTCCGGACTTCATCCTGGCAGAATGTATTTTCCATTGTATTTACTAAGTATTGTACACAGCCCATTAGTGGCCTTATTTCGCCCAAAGAAGGCATGATTATTGTAATGGGCCTCCTAAGCCCAAGGCTAGGGGCCCAAATCCACATTTTTACCTATAAATAGACCCCAAGGGGCTAATTATAGGGGGTTCCAAGTTGAGAAATATAATTACTCACTTTCTCTCTCTAGCTCTCACTTCTCTCTAGAATTAATACTCTATCATTTGGTGCTCTCGTTGAGAGTCTAGAACAGATCAAGTGAGTACCCTTCGTCGCTACCAGACACTATCGCCAGCTATGACAAGAACTAGGTCAAAGAACACTGGTAGGAATGCCCCACTGAACCAGGAGGGGCAGGGAAACGTCGCTGACAACGTCCCCAATGATCTCATCATTCAGGATGAGAACGCTCAGGAGGTCGAGCTCGCAGCGGCTGACCTCCGCGTCCAGCTCAACAAGACTGCCCCAGACGCCCGCATCGGGCTCGAGGACAGGCGCAATGCTGATCGCGCTTCGGGCCAGCAGGCTTCTCACCCTGCTGCCCCCCAGATCAACCCGGCCGCACTATCGGCCATCGTCGCAAGCATTCTCCAGGACCCCAACGTCGTCAGCGCCCTCGTCCCAAAGACAGGGGAGAACAACACTCCCGTGACTGGAGAAGTCGCGACGGTGCCGCCACCGCCGCCTCGGCCACAGGGCGTCACCTTCTTCGGCAACGACGAAGGCATCCTCGCCGCGGACACCCATTCCCATACTGCCTCTCCTACCCGGGATACACCGGCCCAACCTCGCGGTAAAATCTCGGCCTTCAATAGGTTGGGTGACATCGCGAGCCGTCGGGTACCTACGGGAAGGGTTGCGGATCGGTTGGGTGGTCGCGAGCCGGGATCACCAAAGGAAAGCTTCGGGTCCGTTTCCCGGACAACGGATCGGCCCCGACCAGACAAAGGCAAAGGAAAACTGAATGATGATGATGCGCGTCACCAGATCAACCTGGCCCACGCGGCCCGGATCCAGACCCCTCTAGGTGGCGCTGCGGCCAACACGGACCCAAGGGACGAGATCATTGCTCGCCTGGAAAAGCGCCTCGCTGACATGGAGGCCCGGGAGGCCGCAGGGCGCGCAGCGGCTCTCACATCCCAGCATCCCAACTACGATGCACTCCTGCACAAAGTTAGTGCCTTGGAGAGGGAGTTGGCTGACCGGCGCGATGAGCCCGTCATCCAAGTACGGACTCGGACCCCCTTCTCCGCAAGGGTGCTCTCCGCTCCCATCCCAGAGAAGTACAAGGGGAATCCGATCAAGCCATATGACGGCCGCACTGATCCCCAGGAGCACTTCACCCGTTATCAGAACAATATGATGATGACCAACGCTTCGGAGGAATACATGTGTCGCTGGTTCCTATCCACCTTGGAAGGACCAGCGTACGATTGGTTCAACAACCTTCCGGAGGGGAGCATCGATTCATGGCAGGATCTTGCTCAACGCTTCCTCACCCACTTTGCCGGAAGGAAGCGCGCGAAGAAGCATTTCGCTCATCTCCTGACCATCAAGCAACAATCGGAGGAGACGCTCCGAGCCTTCCTCGATCGCTGGACGAGGGAGGCGGACGAATGCGAAGGAGCCGATGAGCGCACTCTCCTGGCTTTTCTCCGCGGAGCACTCCGGCCTAGCCACTTCGCCCGGAGCCTGTTCACGGAGCCGCCGCGGTCATACCTCGCGGCGCTCCGACGCGGAGACAGGCACGCTGATGCCGACGAGCTCCTGAACCAGAAGAAGGGTGGGGAGAAGCAACAGAAGAAGGACTCCTCGTCCAACCCCCACCACCCGCCGGCCAACAAGGGACAACACCAGCCAAAGAAAGCACACCAGGAGCAAGGCGGACAGCGAAGAGAGGATCGTTCATGGCGTCCAAAGTTGGAGGCACAACGCATCCCCCTCACCCACCTGGTGAGCGTCGTCCTTGACCACGCCGAGGCGCAGGGCCTCATCGTGAAGGACCCCAGGTCAGAGGAGGAGATATTTGCGGTCCACAAAGGAGGGACATACTGCAAGTACCACCGCCAGACATCCCACAAGACCGAGGATTGCACCACCTTGAAGAGGCACATCGACGGCCTCGTCCGACAGGGGGAACTTTCCCAATTTGTCAAGGGTGCCCCCAAGAGTAACACTTGGGTTAACCCTGGCAAAAGGGGGGAAGGATCCTCCGGGAAAAAGAGGGAGATCGGCGCCCTCAGTGAAGACGAGGACGAAGAGGAGCTCTGCCAGAAGAAGCATCACATTCACATCATCGTCGGCGGAAACACAGGGGGGGACTCGGCTACCCAACGAAAAAAATGGGCTCAGTCCCTATACGTTGGTGAGGCGTCCCACGCCCCCCCTCAGCCGAAGCGGCGGCATGTGGAAGCCATCACTTTCACTGACAAGGACCTCCCCTTCGGCCCCTTGCCCCACAGGGACGCCCTCGTCATCAAATGCGAGATTGGCAACAACATCATCCACCGCAACTACATCGACACTGGCAGCTCCGTCAATGTGATGTACGTTGATACATTCAGACAGCTGAAGTTGAAGAGGACCGAGCTCCGGCCGATACGGACTCCGTTATCCGGCTTCACCGGGGACTCTATCGACGCCGAGGGCACGATAGTGCTTCCCGTTGTGGTCGGTGACGGTACCTATCAGGCGAAGATTGACATGGAGTTCGTGGTCGTCAACCTGGACAGCGCCCACAACATGATCTGGGGACGACCGGCCTTGGAGGACCTTGAGGCTGTCATCTCCATGAAACATCTATGCCTCAAGTTTCCCACCAAGGACGGCGTCGGCTACGCCAGAGGGAACCAGAAGATAGCCCGAGCCTGCTACCTGAAGCTAACAAGAAAGATCAACGAGGCCGAGGAACGAATAGACACTATCACCACCGCCTCGGCCGAAGAAGACACACCAAAGGCCGAACCGGTCGGAGACGTGGAAGATGTTCCGTTGGACGTCTCCCGGCCGGAACGCACGCTGAAGATTGGGACACAGCTCCCCCAACAGATCCGAAGGGACATCCTCTCTGTCCTGAGAGCGTACGCCATCATCTTCGCATGGGGACCAGAGGACATGCCGGGCATCAGCCCAAAAGTGATCACACATCGGCTCTCGGTGAACCCGGCCTCCTCCCCGATCAAACAAAAGAAACGCTACCTCTCGGCTGACAGGAGGGAATTCGTCAAGGCCGAAGTGGCCATGCTGCTCTCCATCAAGCACATAAAAGAGGTGAAGTACCCCACGTGGTTGGCGAACGTCGTCCTCGCACCAAAGCCGCCCACGTTCAGAATGTGTGTTGATTACACTGACCTGAACAAGGCGTGCCCGATGGACCCATTCCCTCTCCCCAACATTGATCAGTTGGTGGATGAGACGGCGGGGTGCGAGTTGATGTCGTTCCTCGACGCGTTCAGAGGGTACCACCAGATATCCATGCACGAAGATGACGCGGAGAAGACTGCTTTTATGACCCGGGAGGGAATCTTTTGCTACCTCGTCATGGCCTTTGGGCTCAAGAACTCCGGCGCCACCTACACAAGGATGGTAGCCCGGATTTTTAGAGCAGTCTTAGGTCGGACGATGGAAGCATACATCGACGATATGATCGTTAAGAGCAAACAATCCACTACGCACGCCGACGACCTCCGGGGGATCTTCGAAATCATGAAGAGGTACAACCTCCGGCTCAACCCGAAGAAGTGCACCTTCGGCGTCTAAGGAGGTAAATTCTTGGGGTACCTGGTCAGCCGAAGGGGCATCGAGGTGAACCCAGAAAAGATACAAGCCATTATCAACATGGAGCCGCCCCGCAACATCAAAGAAGTGCAACGGCTGACGGGACGCCTTGCGGCCCTAAACCGTTTCCTTTCAAAGTCCGCGGAGAAGTCGCTCCCTTTCTTCCAGATAATGAGGAAGGCCACCAGCTTCAAGTGGACGACGGAGTGCCAACAGGCCTTTGAAGAGCTGAAACAATATCTCGCCTCCCCACCCGTCCTATCCAAACCCCAACCCGGCGAGACTCTATTCCTTTATTTAGGAGTGAGCACGTCGGCCGTCAGCTCCGTACTCATCAGGGAGGATGACGGGTTACAAAAAGCTATATTCTACGTCAGCAAGACGTTGCGGGAGGCCGAGCTTAGGTACTCCCCCATTGAGAAGACGGTGCTGGCCATCGTCCACACGGTGAAAAAACTTGGGCACTACTTCCAGGCTCACCCCGTCCACGTCCTCACGCATCAGCCGTTGGGCGCCCTCATGAGGAGCCCAACCAGCTCTCCAAGGATGATCAAATGGGCGATATTCCTAAGCCAGTACCAGATTGAGATCAAGCCGAGGCCATCCATCAAAGGGCAAGCCTTAGCTGACTTCGTCACCGAGTGCACGGCAAGGGAGACGACCGTTACCACCACAGGAGCTGAACCGGACGAAGTCTGGACCCTCTACACGGACGGGTCCTCGGCCACCAAAGCTTGTGGTGGTGGCGTCGTCCTCATCTCCCCGGAAGGATTCAGAGCATACTATGCCATACGCTTCAACTTCAAAGTATCCAACAATGAGGCCGAGTATGAAGCGCTCCTCAGCGGACTCAGACTGGCCGCCGGCCTTAAAGCACGCCACGTCAGAATCAAATGCGACTCCAAACTCGTAGTGAGCCAGATGGAGGGTTCCTACGAGGCCAAAGAAGGGAGAATGAAGCAATACAAGGAGGCCGCTGCGGAATTGCTCAAGGCGTTCGATACCTACGAGATCACTCAGATCCCAAGGGCGGAGAACGCCGAGGCCGACATACTCTCGAAACTCAGCTCCGACACCCCTGAGCACATCTCCAAGATAGCTAAGGTGGAGGAGTTGAGCATGTCAAGCATTCACGCTAGCCCTATACTCTCCATACAACACCAGCCGGAGGACTGGATCACTGACATCGCAACCTACATCACTTCCGACATGCTACCAGACGACGAGGAGAGGGCCAAACTAGCCAAGCTCAGGGCTCCTAGCTATGTCATTGAGGGTGACAAGCTTTACAAAAGATCATACAATGGCACCCTCCTCCGGTGCCTACACCAGAATGAGGCCGAAGTGGCCATGGAAGAAGTCCACTGCGGCGTATGCTCATCACATCAGGGGCCCTTCAGCATGTCGCGCCGCCTCGTCGTCCAAGGCTACTTCTGGCCGACGATGGCGCGTGATTGCGCTGAGGTCGCCCGCAAATGCAGCGCATGTCAACACTATCAAAGGGCACCTGGCCGACTAGCCGTCAACTAC